AACCCTTGCGGTATGGTATGACGTTTGCTACATGGTTACTTAAGTGTGGAAAACGCAAGATAATCTAGCCCCACTGTTAACAAATTTGCATATTACACTATCATTTTGAATGTTTTACGAAACAACACTTAAACAAGTAAGCGAAATATTCCAGAGCCTTATATGAAGTCTTAAAGCAGCTCAAATGCGATTGTTGAAGTAATACATCACTATATATATACAATATACGTATATGCATAGTTTGTATTCTAATATTTATCATGTAATGTTTATGATTTTAAACTATTAATATGAGAAAGACATACTAAAACTATGAAATCATAGGTAAAATGCATTCAAATATTAATGGCAGAACTACACACTACACTTATCTGTCGTGTTGTGTTGTGACGTATCACTGAGCTATCTGTTTCATACATTAAGTATGGTTAGAGTAAGAACGATGTCGACACATCGCGACACACAAGTGTAGTTTTAACTGTCCGAAATGTATGAAACCGATCGCGTAACAACACAACACGTATGATAAATATAGTTCAGCTTTAATGTTTTCCAAGATTCCGCACTTAAAGGGTAACTAGATAACTATATTACCAAGCATCTGCTGTTCGTCCATCGATAATCATACAATATAATTTAATTATAATAAAAAATCGATAATGTTAATGTGGTGTAAAATAAAAGTTTTGTGATTTTTAGACTAACCTAAAGACTTTTTGTTCGACCTAATGCAAAATCTTGGAATAACCTTCGCATCATCTGAAGCGAGCCGCTTTCTTATTAACTATATCTTATTTATTACTTCCATCAAAATGTTTGAAGAGCATAAGTAAGTAGATGTTTACGTACCTTTCATAAATAATGTTATGATACGCAAGAAAGTAATTACTTTCTTGTATATCATAACGTTATTTTGAAGAAATTCCGGAATAACTTAAGATGCATACGCGATAACTAGCACGAATACATTTTAATAGGATGACCAAGCTTTTAGGTTTTGATATAAATTATGATGTGCCTTTCCAATGAAGAAGAATAAATGTGAATATTGTATTCTTAAAAAATACTGTTCGATAAAAAGAGGATATTAAAATTAAATAATATGATAACAATCTATGGCAAGAATTCCAATATTTGGTTGATCCACTTAACCGTTCGTTAATGATGTGATTTTCATCACAAACAAATTCAATAGTTTAAATTACATTCTTTTTTAATTTACTAGTATTAACTAGTAAATTAAAAAAGAATCTAATTTAAAAATCTCATATTAATGAGATTTTTTTTATAGATATGTCCGACAAATGGCTCCACCCCACCTGATGTTAAGTGAAGGTGAAGTCCAGACGCGAAGATAGCTGATACAGCAGTTCTACCTGCCACACCAGCCATCCTCACCCTGCCGGCCTGCAAGTTGCTTCTTCACGCCTCTTTTAAAGGATCCCAGGTTGTAAGAGGCAGGGAACACGTGAGCGGGCAGAGCATTCCATTTACGGATAGTGCGACAAAGAAATGAGTCACCAAATTTCCTTGTACGCGTTGGAATTGTGGCCACAGTAAGACGGTGACAACGTAGGCCAGCGCGCGTGGTCCTCTGAAGGAAAGGGGAAGGTGGGATAAGAGAGAATAAGTCCTCAGAACACTCGCCGTGGTACAAACGATAGAACGCGCTTAGTGACGCCACGTCACGGAGTAATTGAAGAGGCTCAAGGTGTTTAGTCACCTCCTCATCGCCTATGATGCGGATCGCACGCCGCTGTAACCTATCCAAAGCATCGAGCAAGTACTTGGCAGAGCCATCCCAGAGGTGCAAGCAATATTCCACGCAGGACCGCACTTGCGTTTTGTACAACAAGCACAGTTGATCGGGCGTGAAAAAACGCCGCACCTTGTTCAGGACTCCGAGTTTGCGTGAAGCTGTTTTGATCACGGTTTCGATGTAGTCCTTTGGATTCAGGTCTCAGCGAACTTCCATACCGACCATGGAAATGTTGCTCTGCAGCGGTAGTGTAGTGCCCTGAAGAGATGGAAGGGGAAGGAATGGCGATGTTTTTGCCGTGAAAGCGCAAGCCTGAGTTTTCTTGGCATTGAATTCAACCAAGCTCCTGGAACCACATTCGGAAATGTGGTCCAAAGCCTGATTGAGTTAAATGACAAGATTTTCCCGTTTCTCCTTGGTTACTGCCTGCCCAGCCGCTGCTTGTGTCCGAGATACCCCGCATGCACTGTACTATCGTCTGCATAGCAATAAATATTCCCAAGAGGAATCAAGTCATTGATATGTAGCAGAAAGAGAGTGGGGGATAGGACGGAGCCCTGGGGAACGCCGGCATTCACTGACATGAACCGTGAACTGCTACCATCCGTAAGGACACGAATTCTACGCTCATGCAGGAAGTCAGCTACCCAAGAACAGAACTGGGCTGGCAGACCGTATGCCGGAAGCTTGGAGAGAAGGCTTTTGTGCCAGACCCTGTCGAACGCCTTGGCAATGTCAAGGCTGATAGCCAACGACTCGCCACGCTTGTCGATAGCCTCACCCCAGATATGAGTTAAGTACGCTAGAAGATCACTCATCGATCGTTTCGGTCTAAATCCATATTGACGATCATTAATCAGGGAGTGATCCTCTAGGTAGCGGGTCAGATGGTTATTAAGGACCTTTTCTAGAACTTTACATAAAACTGAGGTGACTGCTATTGGCCGGTAGTTTGCCGGGTCTGAGCGATCCCCTTTTTTGGGCAACGGTTGCACGTTAGCATCTCTCCAAGTCTCCGGCACACGCCCCAAAGAATACGAGCATTGGTACAAGCGCGTGAGCACGGGAGACAACTCCGCTGCACATTTTTTAAGTACTACTGCTGGGATGCCATCAGGTCCACTAGCTTTCCGGACGTCGAGTGATTGCAATTCGGCACGAACCTCACGCTGCCTGATTTTAATATCAGGCATCGTTGTGCCACAGTGAGGTGATGGTGATGATGGTGGCAGTGCATTGCAATCATCGATTCGGGAGTTAGCCGTAAAGAGTTTTGCCAGTAAATCGGCTTTCTCCTGCGGCTTATGAGCTAATGTTCCATCTGGGCATCTCAGAGGTGGCAGCGAGGGCTGGCAGAAGTTTTTTTGCACGGCCTTGGCCAAACGCCAGTAGCTACGGGAGCCCGCAGGATGCGTTATAAGTTCCTGCTTGTTCCTTGCCAACACGTGCAACACGCTGGGCATCCGCTCTGATGTAAGCCTTCTTACAGGCCTTGGAAGCAGAATTGTAGGCTGCTTTGAGTGAATCGACCCTGGGATCCTTGAGAGCGCGGCCTCTGATCCAAGCACGATATGCCGCTTGCTTACGCGAAGCAGCTTCAGCACAGTCGTGATTGAACCAGAGGTTACGTGTGCCCTTACTGATGAGATCAGAATGAGGAATATAGTATTCCATACCCATTATAATCTCCTCAGTAATGGGAAAGGCACTGGCCGATAGGTCCCTGTCACTGAAGCAGCGCTGCTTCCAAGGGACGGACGCAAAGTAGTCACGCATACCGTCCCAATCTGACGACCCATAATGCCAGATACGGCGCTTGACCACTGCTGGACGCGGAGGCTTAGCCTGTGGTGCTTTGGCAGATATCAGGCAGTGGTCGGACGAGCCCAGGGGGGCTCTTACCACAACCTGATAGCCCTATGGTTGGGTAGTGAGCAGAAGGTCCAGTAAAGAAGGTGCTTGACTTGGAATATCTGGGATCCTGGTGGACTGATCAACCAGTTGCTTCAAGTCATGCGTGAGAGCGAATGTGTGAGCAGAGATCCCTGCATGATCAGTTTTGGAAGAACTTAACCATTTACTAATCAAAGTATAATTATCAAATACACAATAATGTCGAAGTAGAGATAGTTTAAATCATGCGAAAATCGATATATAAAATAAAAAATCCTTGTGATTTTGCGTTTTTCAAATTAATTCTTTAAAATAACGTCATAAATAAAAAGTCAATACTCTAAATTAAAAGTAAAAAAGAAACTTACAAAAAAAAAACAAATATACTTATTAAACACACAGATGTCAATGATATTTTAATCAACAGTGGTGCAACTTATAGATAAAAATATATTAGTAGTGATGGCAGTAGAGTTTTATTATTTTACCTATTTTTTTAAGGATTTATTGTATTTTTTTAAGGATCTACGGCATCAGAGGCCTAAGCACGAACTTTTTGCAGATTCGTAATCGTATCGTCATTACTAAATTTTGTATGGAAGAAGCCAGTTTGTTCATGCTTAGTTTTCGTAGGAGCTTTGATGATTACGGAACTGTCAAGTGTTCGTGCTTGGGCCTCTTCTGAACCTCTTAACAGGTAATGATCATTGATCATAATATTATATGTAACGAAGCAGCTATAAAGCTCATGATTGAATATCAATAAAAAGTTCAAACCCGTTTAAAAGTGTTTTATATCATTATTGGTGTGCGTAAGACATAACAATTAAATTAGTTTTAGCTTCAGTTTAGTAGCTTTAAAAACACTGTCAGAAATTACATATGATTTCGATCTGTTGGTATGTACGTACAGCACTACCTATTCAAATTACTCCACAGAACACAATCAAGTTACAATCTGAGAAGTTGGCTCACTGGGCGTGAAGCCAGACCGTTCCGCGTTGTAAGCTCGGAACATTCCCACTATCATTTGCGGGATTTTTCTAATGATATGCGGGATATAAATGATAATGAGTAAATTGATCCCTTCACAAACACGGGTGCGTCGTTTTAATTGACTTTTTAATACCGGGCTTTTAAAATAAATAAATTTCACATTTTAGTTAAAAATAGGAATACATTAATTTTGTCAACGATTTTTATGTGATGATGCGAGTGAACTTGCATTTTTTCTACATCGTCAAGAGGATAAACGCTCTTGAACTTAAAAATGACCCTATTTAAAATCATTATTTCTTTGTTTTAAAGTGACAGGTTATATTTATCTTTTATCTCTCTAAAAACTTACTTGATATCTAAAGAGAAAATGTTACAGGGTGAATGGAGTATAATACCCCCTTCTCTTTTTAATTTAAGCATTTAACTTTAAGATATTATCATTAGATTTAAACCTAATGATAATGTAACTTGAAAAAAAAATCCACTCAGTCCAGGGTTCAGTCTAGATGGGACGAGATGGAGGTATATTATTATAAGAAGGAGATGTCAGCTAAGGCAAGATTTTAAGAAACTCCTTTACTTAACAAAAACCTAAATTAGGAAGGGAGAAGGTGAGGGTTTATATGGAACTTCGTTATTTCTGTACTTAAGTAGTATAAATAAAAAGAAAAAAGGCTACGTAGACTGTTGATTTCAATTGAAAAATTATTTCTCGACTTCCACGTGTGTATAGCCGCAGGCGAAAAACTAGATGTGTTTGAATATCCGTAATACTTTTTGTTTCATTTTGTGAGGCAAAAAACGTAACTGCCTGGATTTTTAATTCATCTATCTCAATGTCATTTCATGCGGACATGGAAATAAAAATACAACATAAAGGATTTATGGAACAATAAATATATTACACACATTTCATTAGATTCGAGACGATACGAAAAAAAGGAGAAAAAGTATGTACATTCGGCGTGGGTATGGGAAAATTCACACGTGTTTGTAACTGTACCAATGGCTCAGGAAGAGATTATATTGGACGAGCGAGCGAGAAGAGACATTGAAAAGGACATACATTATTAAAATTTAATAGTGCCTATCTTTTATAAAACGGTTCTATTTCAGTTACTTTGTTTGTGTATGATGTAGGTCAAATCTAGTCATTTAATTTTATCCACCTACCGTTGACAGGTCTAAAAATTTATACCACTTTCTGGTTGATATTATAATAATTAATCCATATCTATTCCGTTAATTATACAACCAAGATGGCTGCCGCTACAAATTGCAGACTACAATAAAATTATATTTTTTTTTTTACTTTGGTAATCGTTCAATCTTAATTATACTCTTTCAAAGAAAAATGGATCGCACCTTTGTTTACCGTTTTTCTCTACACTGTAGACTTATTCAAATGAACTTGATCATAGAATCATGTTGAATCAATAGACGAGACTTAAAAGAGCTTTTGTTCAGTTCGCAATAACATACAACAAATTAATACAAAATTACAGACACATCCAAATCAACCCATAAGCGCATTTGCATAAAGATTTATTAATAAATCTTAAGAATTATGAAAGAAAACTATCGAAATCATTTAATATCGCTGTCGTCAAAAGTGATTATAATACAAAATGATTTATTGAAGTTTCAAATTGAACTGTTGAATAGTATTCACAAGAAAATTTTACTAGAAAAAAATCGAATTAGTCCAGGTTTTAGACAGGTTCGAACCCGCAATTCAGGTACAATTTTCTTTACATTTAGAAATGTACCAGTTCAATGGTTAATAATATAATAATCTAGTATTCGCAACTCCTGATTGTTAATTTTAAATGATCATACTCATTGAATACACCAAATGAAGAAAACTTACACTTTATAGGAATGAATGGAATTTTTTATGTTAAAACAACCTATCAGCTGTAGACCTTGATAAAAATCCTTTTATAAGGTCAGAAAGCCTGCTGCTCTAAGGCCACCAGCTTGCTCCGACAGGAATAAATAAACGAATGTCAAGGGGACCGTGAACAACAAGACAAGTGACACATCAATTACATAAGAAGTAATTAAAGTACAGTAGAATCCGTTTATTATGATTCAGCCTATATTGACCAATCGCCTATTATGACGTAATTACACAACGAAGTTTGGTTTTCATATAAAATTCATTGTAACAATGTCGGATATAATGACTTCGCTTACAGTGACTTGTCATTTATTATGACCCATTTTTAATCAATTTTGTGCATTTATAGTGACCGACATGGTTCTTTACACCTACGGTAATGTTCGTTAATTCAAATTGAACATCAAGCATTGTTTTTAGTGATATGCTATGTAAAAAAAATGTCATCTCCACGTCGTAAAGCATTTACGACTGAGGAAAAAGGTGCAAAGCATATTATTATGCTGATTAGAAAGTGGAGAATCAAACTCATCTCACAATCAAAAAAGTTTCACAAAAATGCTTTGTATGACGTCCGCTTAGTATGACGTGTTTGTCGATTCCCTTCGAAGTCATAATAAACGGATTATACTGTACATATTATCATAAACTTTACTCTGCCAAGTGTAAGTAACGATGATAAATAAGAAATTGTAATAATTAAATTACTAGGTGGTCTCAACACGACGTAGTTTAAAAAGAATCTATTTTAAAAATGATTAAAAAAATATTATATCATTCACTTGACTCTTTAATAAAGATGTCAGTTTTCGCCTACGCTACTACTCTACGTGCCAGTAATTTATCTCACTAGTAAACTAATAAGATTGACGTAAGAGAGTATGTCATCCCAGATAATTTTCCGGGTTAAACTTGTTTGGCAGCCGTGGCTGGCAACGGAATCAATTTTATTTGCTGCAGACAGTATGGCGCGCTAAATGTCAAGGCGGGTGGGTGGCCTGTTTTCAGTGCTTGTAAACCTAAAACGCTTTAGGGATTCTATCGAATTTTAATACTGAAGAAGGATTAAGTTAGAAAGTACAAATTATATTTATAATATCAGTGCCAAATCGAAGTTCAGAACTTTGTTCGCTATAACTGGTATTTCTTATTCAAATTTAGAACAGACAATTATTTCTCATGCCCAAAAAGGGGACAAATCGGCATAGCCTGACCTAAATTCCTAATGCCGCATTGTGGAGGTCTGGCAGGCTGACATAATAGTGCTATTTGGCCCAGTCTTCTGTAAGTCTGTAAGGTGAAGGACAACCGCCTGGAGATGCTCCAAGCTATATAATATATTAAACACTAAGATTTTTTAACAAAACTGGATAATAATCTAGACGATGCAATGTAAAAGCAATCAATTTATGATGACCGGTCATTCTCCAACTCACACATAAGTAGGGAAAAGGTTTGGTAATTATTGAAATTTATCAATGTTTGCTAAGGCAAATCTTTTTCGGTAAAGAAATTAATATCGGATAATCCATCAAAGTTAACTGAGTCAGGGGGGCTACCGCCTATCATTATTGCTTTGGCTATTGATAAAACTTATGATTTAATTGTGTTATTTCTGACTGCCGAATGTTTTCAAATGCCTCACTCTTCAAATGCTAAAGCAATCCAGATAGGCGGTAAGCTCCCGGACCTCCTTAGTAGCTAATATATAATGATTAATTGTAATGAAATTCTTAAACACACGTACCTTTCCAAGAAAGAACCGCCTGTAATACTTGGCGGTGTCATCTGTGTCGATGTTGTGCCGCCTGGACGCCTGTTTGGGGGTTCCCGGTTGGGCCCTAGGCTCTGGTTCCTCGCCATCCTGCGCTTCATCCACCCCGTCCACCCAGTACCCTCCACTTGGAGGTTGGACTATCGTTGGTGGGGTTCCTAGAATGAAAGTTCCGATTATTATATTGATTTAAACTTCCGTGGTCACTAACACTCGGCCACAGAATTCTCTCCCAGTTACCATACGACGTGCAGTATCTATTCACGCTTTTAAAAAACCTTGTAAAGTCCTATTATCTGTAGTTATGAAACTTTTGATATTAATCTTCTTTGTGATTACTACCAACTTGACTAGATTTGTTTATTTATGTGTCTGCATATATTTATTTTATATATTTTATGTATGTTTGTATGTGAAAGTGTATATTTTACATATACTCGTATCACTCAAGTGATTTCGCCTCCGTCTCTCCCTCTTCCTTCTAGTACTTTCCATCTAAAGGTTGTCTGGAAGATATCGCTCTTAACGATAAGGCCGCCTTAAAGCCTTAAATATAATGTTTTCCGTGGTTTACAATAAAGTGTTTTGTCTTGTATTATATTGTAACACTATAATATTTTATGATATTAACGGGATTGCTACCATGTACCATGATCATATCATCTTATCATCGCTTGCAACAGTGCTGTAATATCGTGGATTCGAATAAAACAAGGTACATGGTGGCAATCCTGTTAATAACATTAATCATCCATAATATACTATGGAAAAGACATTACGGGACTCCATTTTACAGTTGAGTGTACACAAACAGATAAATAAAGTAGATTATTTTGGATTTTCTGACAAATCCCTCCATATTTTGACGCAATTGTTAACATTCGATCCAAACGTGAGGCTGTTTTTTTTTGTCAGGCTTTCCTGATATCATTACTTCATTCGGCATTTTCCGCAGCAAGTCCACGTTTTATCTTTTGGTCGAATCACCAATCATGGTTTTATATCTGGAAATGGCGTTACGCCTCTCTGAACCACCGGGAGATGAACCACCTAAGAAGTCACTGAGTAACTTCTTAGTATGAGGGTCGCCGTTTTAATACAGCTGAATGAAATACATAATATCGATGAAAAGTATTATTTTATCGTATTATGAATTCCATTCAAACACAATCAAGTCGAAGCTTTCACTGGACCTCGAAATAATTTCCATGACACTTGGTAAGAAATAGGCACGGAGTACTTATCACGATTTGGCAGTCACTTTGGAAATGACCGAACGCTACGGTACGGAATCCTATTGTAAACCATTAAGTAGTACAGAGCTGTCGTGCAGTCATGACGGGCAGTGATGAAATATTGGATTTTTTGCACCAAACACAAAACCATACAGATTCAGGAAGTCACGAACACAATTACTTCGAATCACCGAACACTTACAGTTTCTTCTGCTGAAGAGGCCTCCTAAACAAAATTACGTATCTAAGGTTGTAGCCTAAGTACCAAAACCACTTTACAACAAATTGTAGGAATTAATAAAGTCATTGTCTCAACTGTTCCCTTATTATTATCTCAACGAAAACGTCCATGTAATAGGTAACTGAAGAAATCACAAATAGGCTATGAGAACAATGTGCAATTTTCATGTTGTTTTATAACATGCATGCGATATGAATTTGTTAAAACATTTTATTTTGAGGAAACAAAGTTTTCAATATAATTTTAATGTCAGTAACAGTCTGTTTTTCAAAAAATATTAGACCCGTATTTTCAAAACAAATCAAAACGTTGAATAGATAATATTCATTTAAAATGTCGCGTGACGTCACGTCTTCGTACAATTTTTACTTAAAAGTGACGTCATGAGCCCCCGCTCCCAAACTTTGACGCGCTTTATCTTTGTTATTTTTTGTTTGAGGATTTCAATTTAAAAGGCTTTCGTGATAAGAAACTAATAGTTCTGGCACTCACATTGTTATACTTTTCTCTTCTTTAAAAAGTCTTTTTAAACAGTCCCCTGTATTTACAGCATCTAGGTTCTGTTTAAAGACCATCTATCATAGGATAATCAGAAAATACCCGGTAGCGGCCCGACCACCGTACTATCTAATTTCAAACGGGGAGTATCTGTGTCTAGACCACCTTTTGTCCTACGAGTTTTTATCGGGCTTTCAATATAGCGCTGCTTCTGCTCTGGTCGCCATTATTCTGCTTTCAATGGGGAAAACCTATTCTAATGCATGTGTAGAAGAAGGGAAATTAATTAAACAGTCGACAAATGCTCTGTAGTAGCGTAACAAAAATCTCTTATTTGAAAGCAAACGTTAATTCTGGAATGTACCCTTTTTGATATAAGCGGGCTACAATTATGATGGTGTATCATATATTTAAAGTATTATATTTAATAATTTGTTGATAAAAAGTGTAATTATTTTCACGGACATAAAATAAGGTCCACCTCCACAGCCCCAGCTTTTGCAAAATGTGTCTGTACTGAAGTGTGACCAAGGCTAAGGCTTCACTTTTAGGAACCACTTTCAGTGTTTAGAGTCAAGCTATCTAAGAAGATTGTCTATATATACTCGATAAGTGCTAATCATCGTGGATACTGCAAGCGACGCGCCTAGGCCACAGAATTCTCTCCCAGTTACCATACGACGTGCAGTATCTATTCACGCTTTTAAAAAACCTTGTAAAGTCCTATTATCTGTAGTTATGAAACTTTTGATATTAATCTTCTTTGTGATTACTACCAACTTGACTAGATTTGTTTATTTATGTGTCTGCATATGCATGACTTGCATAGCTTCCAACTTTTGTATCCCTAAGCTAAGCACTATGCAAGATACTTAAGACTGTGACAATAACCTAAATAACGTTAAAAGGTGAATTAAACTTCCTAAAGGAGATTGCTCAGCTTCCATACATGTTTGGCCTAAAGATGAAAAATAATAATGAAAAATTGTTTCCTAGATTCGAAATTATATATAAATTACTGTAGAAACGAATATTATTGACGGACACCCCTGAGAACTTCTATAAACCATATACACTGAACATATTAAAATAATAAAAAACAAAAAAGTTATATAATAAACTAGGGAAATCAAGCCAAGTACCGAAATTATGGATTAGATTCAGGTATATAGAGCATGTAGATTAACAGATAGTTGCCTGTTTTTAAAGTTAATGCATAAGAGTGACTTTTAAAATCTCCGGTTATAATAAGGTATCTGTGACAGAAACCGTGTGATGATTGTGAATGAGCCACAGATTAGAGACAATTTTTAAACTCTCGTTAACCAAAGAAAGCTAAGAGATTTAGGTTCTATAGCCATATATTCAGTAGCTTCATTATTTTTGTTATGTTTTTAAGATAACTATATTTTAGATTTTTAGTGTATCACGCCTTATAATTTTATTTATTTATTCATTTATAGTCAGGGAACGTAGGCCCATAGATAGATACCTTAAAGTCTAACATATATACAGATTATAATGTATGTATGGAGGTGTTTGGCGAAAAATGTACGGCAATAGGCTTTATGATGTCGCCTACCATCTATAATAATTGTCTGAGCACATTTGAATCTATAAGAAAATGATAATATAGTGGTGGATATTAATACCACAGTGTAATAAAAAAATATTTATTATGTCGATCTTTACAAAATAGATTTGTTTTTATGTTATATAAACAACTTCGATCAGTCTTTGGCTGAATATTACTATACCCATAGCCATTAAAAATGATTCGTATATTTTCCAAACCGGTAAAATTAATAGTCCTTTTTAAAGTAAATATATTATACAAAAGTGTCCGTTGAAATCTAATGACTGTAAATTAAATTATAAATTACGCCAAGAATTACCGTGTATGTCAATATTTTCTGTGCATTTAGGCCAATTTGAGCAATCTCTTTTAATGTTGAATAGCATCTACAAATTAAAAGTAAGGCATGTCCTACTAATCTGCGTTATCTGGTAACCTCGCCGAGTCCCATGGGACGGTATTGTCCAACTCATAAAGAGCCCACAACAACATACAGTGTATGCAAAGCGACTGTACACATGAGTTTTTGTGAGAGAACAATGTTCCTTGCTTATTGGAGGGAGGGATTGTTGCCACCACAATGTCCTGCTGTTCATTTTATACGGCTGTATTCATTTAGCCATGAAAAAGCATGTGTTTTAAGAGTGATTTATTTATATTCTTTAGAAACAGATCTATACCCAAAATATTTTCACCTAGTTGAAATACTATTTACACTAAAAAGTCGGCCATTGCCTTACCTAACCTTTCACATAAGCAGAGGCTGCATTTTGGAGAGAAGTTCGCACATACCTTATCCTTCACAATATCATAAACCTACGCATTTAAATCGATGACAAAAATAAACAGTAATAAGTTTCCTACTTTGATTAGTACTCAAGGATAGTTCGGCGAATGAGTCATTAAGTTAATGAGATCTCAGATGTACGTTAAAGAAAGGTTATAGGTAGTATAATATAATTTTAGAGTTGGGTGAACTCAGATCCTCAAAATCAAATCACACTTATAACAAATATATTCGGGAGCATACGTCTATTGTTGGATAGACTATAACTGTGTTTCGAAATTGGAGCACCAAGTTCCAAACAGTATTCTAAATACACTAACTTTGGTTTGTCGAAGTAGAGACATCCAATCCAACACAATCCAAAGTAAATTTAGTTTTCAAAAATGTCATTAATAACATAAATTTACAATCTTACGTTATTTTTAATTTCGAAGTTATGGAAACAACGTTATAATTAACTTAACGGCCCGCCCTCGCTTTGCTTCGGTGTAGAGCTGAAGCGTAGACTTCAGTTTTTGTTCTCAGGCTTTTATTATACACAATAACATTCATCTATGATTCTTGTTATACCTGCATGCAAAGTCTCAGCCCGATCGGTTTAAAATTGACAAAGTTTCATACAAACTTTGATTCCCTATTTTATCCCCTTGGGGGTAGAATTGATCAAAATCCTTTCTTAGCGGATGCCTACGTCATAACATCTACCTGCATGCCAAATTTCAGCCCGATCTGTCCAGTGGTTTGGGCTGTGCGTTGATAGATCATTATGTCAGTCAGTCAGTCACATTTAAGTTTTATAGATTTACTTTGTGCTTTGCAACTGTACAGCTAAAACATTCCAAACTTTATGAAGAACGTTTATTAAGTGAAAAAAATACTAAAATAACGAATGTATGTTAACGAACCTTGAATGTAATTATTCTCATTACTTTTTATTATTTACTCGTATGTAGCAAAGTTAATTGGCAGGTACTCATTTACTATTCACTGTGGTACACTTTTCTATGTTTGTTAATAATCTAACACAAGAGTTACTAAAATATAGTAATTAAACTAATTATTTTTCACAGAGGCTGTCTTGACGGCCAATGCCATTAACAATCTAAAACTTTGTCAAAGGTTCGTATATTCAGCATTTCCTATTCTCACAGAAAGCGACAAATCTTGATTTCCCAAGACATAACCCTGCGGTGTACTGCTAATTTAATTAATGCGTTAACTAGCGTAGGAAATTTTCTTTGAAATGAGTCTCTTTTGTAAGAAGGAAAGATTTAAGATATATATTTAATTACTCAGGAATTAAATAAAGTAATCTGACAAACATGGCTTTGTAAACCATAGAAATATTTGTGACGACTATTATGTAACTCTGTAGGAAAATTCTTCGACAAAACCTTTTTTTAATATTGTAGGAGTGGCAAGCAAGCATATTATAGCCCATCTGAAGGTAAACAGTCACACATAGGTTCACCAACACATAGGCTCTGCCTATAGACGCATGCCATACAAAAAATATCACTCGCGCCGTTGCCTACTCTGATCTAATTCTCTACACGATGGAAACCTAGAACTTTACTCTTTTTCCTGAAAATATATACACATATTGTCGATAAAGTAAAAGCGAAAATTACTTCTAATTTGTAGTAAGCCATTTACTTTCTACGAAGCGAGATAGGAAATCCATAAAACTACGATTTTGCGACCGAATGTACCCTCCGCCTTTGTCCTCGCCGTAATAAGAAAATATTAGGATAGTCGATTTTATCAATGACTTTCCGATCGATAAAGGGTGCAATTTACGATTCCGATGTGGACAATCGATTCATGGCAGCCACAATAAACGACACGGCATCAATTTGATAACAATCGCTCACGAAACGCGTGGGCAGGCAAGGTACTACAAGCCCTTAGGTGAAAGGTTTGACGTATTGTTCTACGAGTATGACACAGATCACGTTGTCGCAATGTACTACCTTTATTATAGGCGCCTATTGTGATATCGCCAGCCGTAATTTCAATTAGCGTAAGGGGGAAAAATAGAAAAAACACTTTCTTACTTTGCTACTCTCACTCCATCAAAATCCATTTATTCATGATAAATTTAATTTCAAAATACAATATCAATTTCTTTTAAGTAGACACGTTTAACCTAAAACCAACTTGGATCATTTTATCACAAATTAAATAGGTACTTTAAGTGCGACCTAGGAAATGAGAGCTATTTTCATCACAAAAACATAAATAATTTATTTGAAACTACGAGCAGATCAGGTGAACAAACTTTAGGCTATGTGATAGCCTTAAAACCGACTTATTATCATTTGAATCTTAAATTGACAGTATAAGTACATTTAACATTTGAATACTTAATAATTTAAAGCTCCAGTGGTTAGCATTTAATTTTATTTGAATCTGAAAAAATATGTATAGTGTATATAAAAAAATCACATACAAACCAATCGCACAAAAATGTATGCTGACTAAGCAATATCTGTGAGGTATTATGAATAACATATACTTGAGTTACCAATATTTGATCACATATTCTTTGCGACCGCAATCATGTTCGACACACATGATATTACATTATGTATGAATAAGGGCTCTTGTATATTTTTGATTACCTATTAATAATTCTATGTTGCTGCGTAGATTGGATTCGATGCGTAGTTAGATAGGTGCGGGAAAATATTTGATAATACAAACCTATTGGTGTTGGTAGAGCTTATTAAATATTAAAAACTAGATCGCCGGCGACTTCATCCGCGCTAACTTCAGTTTTTTTTGTGAATCCTACAGGAACCTAACAATTTTTCAGGATAAAAATATCCTTTGTCACAAACCAAGTCTTAAACTAAATGCTTTCCAATTTTCATCCAAGCCCGTTCAGTAGTTTTTGCATGTTTGAGTAACAAACGTACAAACTTTCACATTTATAATATTAGTAGGAAGAAGAATCATAACATTGCATGGACAGCATTTATCCAATGCCTGCTTTATGGGAAACCAAACTACTTGCTTGCTCATAAGAAAATCAATATTTTTATAAGATCAATATATATTTTGAATTCCTTAGTGATATGATCGGTGTCAATAATTATAAACAGTAAATCGTTTTAGAATAATAGTAAGATACATCAATACAATACTCATTCTTGACCGACAGTGCAAGTAAATTAAACTAAAGCAGACTTTCACACTTGTGTTCTCAACATTTCCATTACTTTCTCCGTGTTACTGACAATGACGAAAGCTAAGTATCGCTGCACATAAAAGACTCTGCTGAGTTACTGCTCGCTGTTTTACTTTCAGATAACTCACATTTTTCATTAACTATGGTCACCACGAGAGATTTATCGTCGCTTCTCCTTAACACATTTCTATTTCTTTTTAAGCTCGAGATTGGTTGATGAAATGCTTTAGTTAGATTTTTATCGACTTCATCTGAGACCACACTATTACATATTTAGACATTGAAACAGTTTCTTAACTACCACTCTTAATTTTTATTATTTTCATCAAGTCATTGCGAACTATAAATCTCTTTTCATAGTATGATGGAATAAGAAATTTAAGTTAGCTTGGCACTTTTGTATAGGTATTTTGATAAGGACTTATATTATGTTTCAAATTATTTAAAATAACATCATTAACTAAGTACTGATATTGTTATAGCTTTCGTGGTATATATCGTTTTAATGCAAGTGTAGCACAACACGGTTACTTATGGTAAGAACAATTCCGTAGCAGCATTTAAGATTGCCCTTTAAATTTTGTTTTTGTCAGTTTAAATAGCCTCTTTTGTTCTTTTATTAACATCATTTTAATAAAACGTTTTAGAAATAACGAATGAAAACAAGATAATAATAAGATACAAAATATTTTAAAATGTGCATCATCTCCATTTTAAAGTAGAAAATCTCTTAAGCTTTTAAATCTTATAAGCCCGGCATAATTCCAAAAGCTTGCAGGTTAACTTGGTAACAAGTTTCAACAACTGATTTTCTTTTAAGGATATTGAACAGTTTTATCCGCGGTATACAATTTTCCTACTGTTTGCGAAAACTCATCAGTGAAATTGTAAATATAGTAGAGAACACAGCTAATTTAAAAAAAAAATCATTTCTCCAGTTTTACATCAACAGGCTCTTTAAAAGTGAAATGAGACACGGAGGACATGAAAAGTACTCTACCAGGTTCTTTATGTCACTGCAAACACTGGTAAAAAACCTGGATTCCCGAGACCCCTCTAAAGTTATCAGGGTATCATTTGCGTAGACGCTTGAGTTATCAGTACAGAGTATCATTACTCGCGCGTTGCCTTACACTAACCAAATTTCCTACCACATGAAGCTCTGGAAACTTCACTCACTGCAGAAAAAAAACACTACAGCAATGCAGCAGCAAACAAAATGCCTCACCAGCTAAGCTAAGTATCTTCCAGCAGCTTGCGGCTCGTTTGGCACGCCACTGCGTCTCACCTCTGCGCTGCCGCTGCCCCTGGCGAAGGAGGGGCCCCATGAGGCGCGTAGAGGTCCACTGCAGCAAGCAAAAACATAACACTACTGCAATATTAACTTACCAGGCTTAGCAAGCATCTCCTCCAGTAGCTTGCGGCTCGCCTTCTCTACGCTGCCACTGTCCCTGGTGAAGGAGGGACCCCATGGGACGTGAGTACCTACACCATGCAAACCTTTCACACTACAGAGAACAAAAACATAACACTACTGCAATATAAACTTACCAGGCTTAGCAAGCGTCTCCTCCAGCAGCTTGCGGCTCGCTTGGCATGCCGCTGCCACTCTTCTCTGTGCTGCTACTGCCCCGGGCGAGGGAGGGGGCCCATGGGGCGCGGGGACTCGGCCCTCGGCGTACGAGTGCCGCTCACCCACACCCCCTGTTGCCCCTACCGATACCGTCCGACGATTCTCAGTCCGAGGCACCTGTGAAAGAAGTGAGAATATTTAAATACATTGTTACTATTAGGTAATAAGAAATGCAATTACATAGATATCTCACTCTTCTGGAGATTATTTTCGTCTTTGTGTCTTAATTTTTTTCCTTGTTTTATTTAGGGCCACTTAAGGCTACTTAGCAACAAATTAAAGCATAATTTTGTTTAACACAGAATCCAATCTCCGTTAAGATTATTTAAACTCAAAAAGAGATGAATGAGGCTTACCCGTGATAAGCTTTTACATTTGATTTAAGAATTTTAATGCAATTGGACTCGAGTTTCTAATAGTTTAATATTTTTGCTTTATAAGAAATTACAGTAATAAAAGGACATTGTTCAGCGTCCATACATAGTTAGCCTAAGAACCAACAATCATGAAATATTATTTTCTAGGTTCAAAATCGTAACTAAATGACTGTAAAAACAAAGGTTATTGACGGACACTTCTGAGAACTTAAATTATCAGAAAAACTAATTTTTTTTTTGAGGTTATGTTTAATATTCAATGAAACATAGGTCAACCTATGAATTTAGTATAAACTCAGTATGAAGTGAATTAATATTAAAACTAATTCATTTTATTCGGTGCGATTTTAAAGAATAACTATTAGGAAAAACTTGGTTAAGTGAGGTGAGGAATCATGAATAAAATAAAAACTGTAGTTTTGCTCCTTATTTATTGACTGTTTTTCACATAATTGTATCATATTGTTTATTGCATTTATTTGTATATCACATGTAGGTTTATTGTGCAAATATGCAGCGTGAATATGTATCAGGTGTTCTTAATTGGCAGTATGATCCTCTCAGGATGTTATGGCACAGGTTCACTAGCACTTGGAAATAAGGGCTCTCCTCTTTGGTAACATCGATGGCATATTAGATAGCCGAAATAGTTAAATTAAAGGAAAAACAATCGCAAATAAACACACATAACAGGTACTCCGAAACGAGAATGCACTTTCTGGTATAATATACTTCTCTTTAGAATGCACGAATGCCACAGATTACTACGAATGCAAGCTGCATGCACCACAACCACAGAGTAACGAGTTTTATGCCGGCCCTTCACTTGACAACAGTTTGTCCTTATCATGCTTAATAAGGAATGGAAAGGACAGACTGATGTCATGTTTTCAAATAGCAAATACGAATAGCCAAATGAAGTGCCGGCATTAGGAAAAAAGTGTGTTTTGTTTGCAGCGCTGCCATAGATTATACACATAAAATGGTATTTATTGTCTCAGATTATTTTTTTACTTTTTAATTTAGCTTTCTTAACTGGAAGTGTCCGTCACAATCTAAATACTGATAATTATCGCAAAAAATATACTAAGAATTATCATAAATGCCAAATTGGTGTTGGTTCTTAGGCCAATTTTAACATTGTCCTTTCATCTCCAACTAATTGTGTAACAGTAATTTATTAATTATGCGTTTAATTAAATTTGACCACATCCCTAACGGGCCCGCGAGTTGTTCAACGAAGCAATAGCGACGGATCAAATTCATTAATTGACTCGTTTGTTATTTCTGATGTACTGATTTTCAATGGTGGGCCTCCTTCAAAGGGGCGAGGTACAGTCGGACGCAAGATACCGTGACGGGAGCCTAGAACGTTGAACTCGAACCGTGGGATACCATCATTGTTACTTTTCACAATAACTGTACCAGCAAATCGTTTCGTGGTAGACCTATTGGTGCTTTAAAAATGGGATTGAATGGAAATTGCAACCTCAAATTACACCTATTGAATACTGCAAATTACATTAAAATGTAATTATAGTCTTCTTGTTATCTCTCGTGATAATATTCTCTAACAGTAACTATGTCTCTAACAGTCTAATAACAAAAAAAACTTTTTAGCAAAATAATTAATACGCCCAAATATACTAAAAAGCAGAACCAAACTAAAAGTCGGTGTCATGCGCACCCAAGAAGTAAATGGGAACCCACACCTATCAGACATGCATGGCACCAACTCCAAATATTAATTTGGCTAAAGATAAAAATGTTTATCATTTTGACAATTGCGCATCAAAATCTGTGAGTGAACAATCACACATATTTCCCCACCCTTAGGGTTTTCTTTCCAAATTTATCTAGGACAGACTTTGAGGTATGCATACTAACCAATAAAAACCCAAGCCCAATTTTTTTTCTCCATGTTCAATGGCAATAATGAACAACGTGCAATTTACATTCCTTGCGACTCGACCGGTCTTTCGGCGAAAACTTTGAATGTGTAAAACTTCGATTATGGTTTATAGCGAAACTTGGGTGATTAGGGAAGTAACGAGTTACAGGTGTCGCGCGCTTGATCATTTAGTGGAGCACAGGGTTGTAAAGTGACCGTTAAGTCATATCTGACTCATTGTCAGATTGGTCATTTATTGTCAGTAACTCGTTATTGTCATTTATTTATTATCAACTACTATTATTACTGTTTAGAAGCATATTTCAAATAAGAGTTAAGAGTATACACATGGTTATCCAAATAAAAGTCGCCTTGATCAACCACCAAAAAATTGCGGTGAATATATATATATATAAAGTTACCTTTAATAGATGTGCGGAATAGTCACACCAGAAATAAATAAATAGTTAAATTAACATAATTATTAATGAAAAAATAGTGATCACTATGACAATAAATTAGCAATCTGACCGCTTTATAGCGATCGATCGATAAATGAAGGATCGACATCTGACAGTCACTTTACAACCCTAGTGGAGCTATGTCGATGCCGTAACATCGGCTGCGGCATAAATCGCCGTAAACACCATCAAAAGTTTAAAATTGGAAGCTGGCGGAAGCATTAGCTGGGCCGTTGACAGAAACTCGAAACAAGTAGGTAGCGTGGAAAGCGCCCCACCATTTTCTCTTTGATCAAATTAATCTGACATCACCGTGCGCTATGTTTGCTTATATCGTCGTTCACATGTCGAAATGGTGTACATTATCCATTAAGGACTTTTTGTACCAAAGCACAGATTACACTTTACCATAAACTAAAGTGTATGAAACAAAATTTATAAACAGTAAAACAAATCTGAATGGTTTAACAATAGGTTTAAAATAATTGACCGAAATCCGATACCTATACCTACATCATCACATTATGTCAAGAATAAATTGACGACTTTTATTCGAGTCTACCTTTGGTATTATTATTATTTGAACACAATTCTTTTATATATGTGAAGCTGTTCAAAAAGAGATGCAGTTTAAGAAAGAGCATATCTAGTGAATATTTTGATGAATACTAATCAACAAGAAAAATACTTCAAAGATGCAGATAAGCAGGAAATGGGCGTTACGAAAATTTTCTCTGCCCATCCGTACATGGGGTAATAGAGAATTTCCGTTCAAATCATTCGAAGATTGTTATATCCATTAAATAGTAATATGAATAATTTCATATGTAAATTACTGCCGATGTAACTGCGTCAGTCATATTGAAACGGAACAGTGTAATCGTAAAAAAACTTGGGGTAATTAGCTAAATCGTTCGGTACTCGCCTACTACGCCTACGGTTCTGTAATTGGTGGTACAGTACTAAGATATTTAGATATATCGATTTTGTATTCGTTTACTTTTATGTATTACAGACATTGTATGGTTTCTGTCTGACCGGATCCTTATATCATTATTTTTATTGATACTCTTTTATCAGTTATCTCTTCTATTTCTATATCTAAAAATTGGTAATTAGATATTTTCAAATGGACAACTTTTTTGGACTCATGTAACATAAATTTGCATAAATCCTTGAAAAATCTTTCTATGCGTATTAAATTATAGCATTGTCATAAAATATTGATTATAAAAATATTTTGAACCAGATACCATATTGTGTAAGCATTATTGCAGCAAGGCATAATTAGAAATGTTAAGATATTACAGGATAAAAGTTATATTGTAGTTGCGTATTATACCTAAATATAACTAACTCATCAAAACCTTAATACGCAAATAATAACAAAGTCTAACAGCAAATTGTTAAATTGAAAAATATTTCACATGTTGAATACGGAGTCAATAATAGTAGGATCACAAAAAAGGTATAAGCATCACATTTAATTTGGCTTCATGAATGGAATATTTTAGGCAAAATTCCACCATATTTACATTAAAAGAAGCATGGTATTCGGTAGTGGGGTCAAATAACCCAGATACCGCGTGTAACGAAATAAACCTTATCCTCATTAAAACGGGAATGTAATTTAAAAAAGGCGAGAATGCGCGTCGTTTTTTTAAATTACTTTTTCTACTAATTGGAATGTACATTTTTTTTACCGTCACATAATACGGTATTATTTAGTGCCCCAATAAAGCCAGTATATGAGAACAAAAGATACATTTCAACAAAATTCGGAGTGAAACTAGTATATAAATTTTAAAATAATTAATTGGTAAAAACACGATCAGAGTTCGATGAAATAAAAATGACAATTTCATCCGAGCTCTCAAAACCAACACATTCTAAATTTGAACACCCAGATTTTGGCGTACGTGCAACGTTGCAATGGCGGCGGGGCGACCGATGATTGGTTTGTGATGGGAAGTAAATTGCTTCGATGCGGTTCATGTTCACACTAAGCGTTGCTTACTTGAACCACCGCAATGTTTCCATTGAGATCGAAATGAGGTTCTATTGACCAGTTAAGTGTTGTGCTGGAAAAGGAATTCTGTAATAGGCTATATGTAGGAAATTAAAACGAGCCTTAGATAGCCTACCTTCTCTACTTAAGAAACAAAATCTTCAAAAAGTGAATGAGACATCATATTTTTTTCAGCAGCCTAGCAATAGACAAGAAAATAAAACAACCCGCAGATGAGTTACATTTTCTCTTTTTGTTATATACAGTTATTAAACGCATGAATGGAATGTAATCGTATTTTTGCCTGAAAATAGATTTCGGTGCACATTTAACATGCAGGTATGTAAAATGTGCACCCGAAAAATATTTATATTTTGTGA